GGGGGGGGAAGAAGAGCTGATAAATATCACAGCAAGCATTGGCACCAGGTTTTTCTTCCCTCTGTCCAAGTTGCCCTGCTACAGAAACTGCCTGTTGCTATAATAACCCATCACTTACCTGGTAAACAAGATGATGCCATGCTGCAGGGGGTTGCCACTCACTTTCTGCCAGCTTTCTCGTATCAGTGCCTGTTCAGTGCTGGATAATTTTTCACTCTCCATCTTACTTGAAGAAAAGGAGGGGAAAAAAAGTAGAGAAAGGGAAAGCTTCTGCTTCCTCTGAAAGTAGTTGTACTTGCTCACTCTGAGTTACAGGTGTCACAGGTCCTGAATTAATCCAAGCATTGAGGGCCACCAGTGCCTCTGGACCTGGGATCCACACACACCCCCCACTCGCTCCTCTAAGTGCCAAGGATGCTCTTCCTTGCACAGTACTCAAGACTTTGTGATCACATCTCTGGGATCCCCAGACAGTGCAAGAGCCATTTTTTCCCCCTTGATCCTCCCACCTCCTGCCTGGAAGCAGTGCAGGTGGATTTAGAAAGAGCCCCTGTCTGAGCAATCAGATGAAACCTGAGTGCCTTGGGGGAGATCCATGTTGCTTCTTGGTGTCTACAGGAATGATGGGCTGGTTACTGTTGCTTCCTAATCCCCCCTGCTGTTTGGCTACAGAAAGCTTATCAGGGTCTCTGTGCCCTCTTCCCACTGGGCACTAACTGTGCTCCTTATTTGTTCCCTGTCTCACTCCCTGTCACACACAGGCTCAAAGATCTGGAGCTGAAGCTCCTTTCCCCTTATTAGCAGCACTTTCCCAGCTGGCCGTCTCACAGAGCAGCTTCCAGTAGCAACACTTTCACGGATGCTCTTAAAGCGACAGTATCCCCTTTCTCCCCGTTTCTTCCAGTGAGCTTTTTAAAGCTGGGTAACAAACAATACTTTTGCACTTTGCTACATTCTCCCATAAGTAAGGAGCCACCACACACCTTCAGTGTCAAATGGCTTAACCCAATTTTGGCTGAAATTTTCCAGTCAGTTCAATTTTACAGATGACGGAACAGACACAGAAGAAAAACAACTTGCCTAACATCCGACAATAAATTAGCGGCAGGACCAAGCTAGAAACCTCACTCTTTCAGCTTTCAGTCCTGATTTCTACTTGTTAGAGTGCAGCTTGCCCTCATACAATATTTTCAACAGTGTCCTCTTGGTCCCAGTCACCCGCACTGACACTCCCAAACCTTTACATCTCTGGGTGCAGGTGCAATCTAGGGTTTAGTGTGTACAAAGGGAACATCATCACATGTTTAATTTAATAGAAGCATAGCCAATTGTACAAGGCAAAGCATTTAATAATGGATCACAAGGCTTTTGGACTACGTCAAACAAATTCAAAGTGCTCAGGTTCTTTCTGCTACTCAGATGAAGTGAAAACTCTCCTTTTCAAATGGCCCAATGATTCAGACAGCATCAAGACAAGCTGGAGGAGGGGAGGACAGAGAGAGACAGAGTGTGTTCTGGGTTAAGAGCTCAGAAGGAAGAAGAATGGAAAAATATGGACAGGTAACAGAATAATCATTTAAGGAAGGATTTTCAAAAGCAACCTAAGTGACTTCTGAGAACAAGTCCTATTGACATCATTGCAATCTTCTTTAAGATAATAGGCATATGGTCCATTTAAGCCTATAATATCAGCTATATGAGGTTCAGCTGTTCCTGTTAGATAAGAAGGTATTCTGAGGCTACAACGCCTGTACAATACATTTATCATAGGCTATATGTGGTCATAGTCAATGTTGGTGCATCATTTTAAGAGGAAAGTCAGTTCTTGTCCTCTCCTAGCCTAACATTGGCTTCAGTGGAGTTGGAACTTAGCCTTTAAAGGCTCTTGGAGCCAGCATTACCTTTATGGTTTGCTGTACATCGGCACTGCATTAAAACCCACAGCACTATTAGGGACAGAGCTCAGCAACTGCTGTTCCAGATGCACAGGCCCCTGCAATCTCAGCCTGAAGAGAATGCTCCTTTGGTGTTATCCAGGAAGGATCTGGGTCACTCAGTTGAGCGGTTTCAGTCCTGTCCAATTGGAGAGAGTGAGCTCACACACTAGCTCAGCTCAGTATTCATGAAATCTGGTCTTACTGACCACTGGGAATTATAAAGGGAAGTGAAGCAGCTCAAATTGAAAGAATAGGATATTCCAAAAATCAGCTGCACTCCAGGCTCCTTCAGTCCCTATTAATCTCTTTTTAGCAGCTAAGGGTCATATTCTTTCTGGAATCACCAAGACAAGAAACACAGGATGCTGCCTAGTGTTGACAACATAAAGGTTAACATTTAACTCTTCTGAGTCTCACCAAAATACACTAGAAAGCAGCAAGAGTATTGTATGAGAATCTGCATGAAGTATTCCGCATAGCATTTACTTTGATGCTATGAGCGTGTGGAGACTGTATTGTTAGCAGAACTTGGGGAAATATTGCCAATCTTCTTCTACCCCAATTTGCCTCTGCTGTAATGAGAAAGGAGAACCTGGTTGTAAACTAGAGGCACTTTGGCAGAACCTACTAGAGGAGAGTAAGGCACTTCAGTGGTACAGAGGGAGGAAGGAAATTTATAGGATTTGAACAGGAGACAGATAATGCACCAGACTAGATATTTTCCTAGCCACATTTCGGGTGGACTGAAAGCTGGGTGTTAAGAGAAAGCAGAAAAAAAGAGTTTATAATAGCCAAGGTGAGAGACAATCAGTACCTTTTTGAATAGACAGGGAAGAAGGAAGCTGGAATGCTGCAAGGGAAAGATAGGTGAAATGTGGGGAGATTTGATAGTTTTTGCTAGAGTTTGTTAGTATCAAGGACATCACCATTGGGACATGAGCACGCACCACGTCAGGGAGGCTCCTTACTAACAATCTGGCCAATTTCTTCCCAGATAGATGATCATATGCAGATTCATCAGCTGCAAATTAAGCAATGATGCAAAGGTCATGGAATGAGAAGCAATGCAACTTGCCATAGACTCCCCATGCAACTGCCCAATGCAGCATAAAAGGATAGCGCCCTGGAGTCACACAGAGCATTTTCTCTATGCAGACAAAAGCCAAAATAAACAACTAATGGCTACATATAAACCACTGAGAATATTCAGCCTCTTCTCTCACATGCCTACATTGGACTGCTCATCTGAGATGAAGGGCAGTGCTCAGGACACATTCTAGTGGGAGATCCACCAGACCAGCTGGGACTAGCTGCCCCCTACTTACCTGGTGGCAGGCTCAGGAGAGAGGCCAAGGCTTAGCATAATTTAACCTTCCCCTTAGCGATGGCCCCTCCAAGGCCATGTCCCTGCCACTACCCAAGCTATATCTGTGCTGTGGAATCAGAAAAAAATAAATGCCTTAAACTTTGATCATTTGAGTTATAAGATGACATAACTGCTTTGTGGAGAATTGCTGGCTCTGTACAGTAGAACAGATAAGGGAAAGTGTTTGTTCTTTGTAACTCCTCTGCAACTGCTTTGCTCACCGCGGCCTTGAAGATAGCAAAAAGTATGTACAACTCTGATTTCCAGGTGCAGGCAGGGAGTGATATTTCTCCCTTGTCTCCTCCATAAATCTCATCCTGATAACAGCAAAGAAGTAATGAAGTAATGTTTATAGCTGCTTTTCTAGCTAATTTCACTATATGATCACGTGAGTTGTAAGCGACTGTTAAAAAGTATATAAGCCTCCTGATTTTGCTCTTGGGGGGGACCCCCTTCCAAGTGCTTGGGAGATCCATGTCACTTTGGAATCCCCCCTACAGCTGTAGTTTCTTTTGAATAAAAGCTCCTGCTGACCTGACCCAAAAGTATGCTGCGTGTGTTTCCACGACAGTGCTATAGGAGTAACAGAGAATGCCAGTCTCTAGCACTGCCACATTGGCATCTTCCAGCACTACATTTACTTCCTGTTTTAATTAAAAAGCAAATTATCTCTCCACAAGAGAAACCAAACCCCAGCCGAAAAAATGAACCTGCAAAAAGGCTGAAGTTGGAGGGAGCTCAAGGAGAAACATTTGAAACCTGGAAGTGATGTGTATTCCTCCAGTTGCTGGGAGTGAGGGCTCAAGAGGAGTTTGAAATGGCAGGGCTCTCACCTGCATATAAAGCAGCCTCTCCTGCACAGCTATTCCATTGTCAGAGGAGCTCCTTCTGCTGCCACAGTGCTGGAGGTGCTGACAGCATGCTAAGGGGCTGAGGAGGGTTTTAATAAAAAAAACTATATTGTATTTTTCATTCAGATGCTCAGTGAGCCTTCCAGCATGGAGAACCATGAACCTAGGTTAGATATTGAGAAAAACTTTCTCCCTAGGAGAGTAGTAAAGCACTGGAACAGGTTATTTGGAGAGGTTGTGAAATCTCCGTCCTTGGAGGTTTTTAAGACCTGGCTAGACAAAGCTTTGGTTGGGATGATATAGTTGAGAATGGTTCTGCTTGAACTAGACGACCTCCTAAGGTCCCTTCCAACCCTCATTTTCTATGAAAACACCAAAGGAGCCATCATGCTGACCAACAACACTATGTAGGTACAGCCTTCCTGCCCCTGTGATCTCATCTCACCCAGCCCCCATAGCTCCATTTTCTCGGAGCTCAGCCTGGCTGTATTATCTGCTTGGGTGCTGCAGTACATCAGATGGGCCTGTTTGGGGGCAAAGAGATGTCCAGCTGAGACCAGCTCCTACCACATTTCAGCAGTGCACAGAGGGAGGAAAGGGAATTTCCAGTGAATCCCTGTGGTCTGCATTGAGCAGTATGATGGACAGAAAAAGCATCTAATTTTTCAGACAAAGTAGCCAAACACCTTCAAAACGATAGAAATACGTTGCATGTCAACAGCCCCATAGATTGCCTTGCGAACATTACTCTCCCTTGTGAATACCACCTCTACTTGCCTGACAGAGAAACAAGCAGAGAGTTGGGATAGTGACTTGCCCACAGTCACAGAGTGAGGTTTGCATCAGAACTAGGACTAAACCCATAAATGTTGACGTTTGGTCCTGTGCTCAGATCACCTCCTTCCTCATTCAGGCACTGAATTTTCCTGGCCTTGGGGCCAATTCTGTTTGCTTGATATGCTGTAACAGCTTGAGTTCTCATCTTTGTTGCTGCACTTTCCAAGTAATGAAAACAAATCTCCCTTCAGACTCTTTTTTAATTTCAAATTCATCTTCTGCAGGTCCTCATGAATAACCAAACTCCTCCAGGCTCTCAGTTCACCTCAGAGTCTGCTTCCTGGGCTAGACTTGTTCTTTCTCTCCAGTCTGTCTGTATTATAAACTAAACACCATGACTGCTTCCCTCCATCCTCAGGTAGAAACACAGCTTATGAAATGTTTCGGCTTCTCATCTCTGCTCCCCCCCTCAGGCCATAATGTGCCACAGCTCAGTAGCAACGCAAATTGCAAATGCAGTTGCATAACAAGTGAAAGAGATGTAGAGGTGAATAATTGCACACACAAATGGTAAGGGCAATAGCTTCAGACTTTTCTGCCTGCCACTGTGCCCTTGGGGAGCAGGATGGCAGTGCTGCCAACCTTGAAGATTTAAACCACAGCATGGGGATTAAAAGCAGAGCAAAGAAGAAAATGTGTTGTCTTTAGCTGCTCAATATCCAAGGGTTCTTCCTGTAGCTCACAGGGCCCTGATGAGATGAGAGGCTTGTATAAACAACCGAGGAAGATCCGAGGGCGACAGTGCGTGACCCATCTGGAGAATCCAACCGGGACCGCATGTGGAGCTGTCAAGTTCTTTTCTGAAGCACCAGGACAGCAGCTGTCTGCCCACTTCAGCGCTATCTGTAAATGCCAGATAACAAGTAGCAAGCTTTACCCACATCATTATTCACCTCATGCTTGTTCTAATCACAGCAATAATTGCCCCTGCCATTAGACCATGGCCACCTTTTTAAGCCTCTCTAGCTAGAAACAGCATCCCAACTCCTGAGGATTTCCACTGCTTACACCAAGGCAAAATATGGCATTTATGGACCAGCAGCTGCTGAAAGGTACTATCTCAGTCAGTTCTCTGTCTGCAGAAAATTGGTGATTTTTTTTTTCTTCTTATACATCTCCCAAAGGAGCCTCTTCAATAGTTTCTCTTCTAGACTACTCATTTTAGAAGACCATTAATGGACCATTATTTGAAGTCTTAATTGATTGCCTTTTGTCTAATCCAAGCCTTGTCTTTATCCTCATCTTTCCCTGTTGTTGCTGGACTTGATACCAGGGTACTCAACATATGCAGCAGATGCATTTCAGGAACCTGGCTTTACCTATCAAAAAATGTCTTTCATAACTAAGTGTCCTTTCCTCTAGTACAGCTCAATACTGAGCCATTTGTTTTCTGACACCAAAATTGAAGTGTTGCATCTAGATATAGGATTTCCTTTCACTGCTTTGGTCCTTCCCCACTTTGCCCGTCTCAATCAGTTGCAATTCCCAGTGCCTTCAAAAATCACACACTGCATATTGGCAAGGAAATGTGGGAAGCAAAAGGCAGAAGCATTTGATAAATATTTCTAATCTGGATTTAGAGAGGACCAGTCTGAGGTGTGCACTGCATGTGGCACCCATGCCAAACAGGCCCTGTGCACTGGATCCGGGAAACAGGGCCAGTTTATGAGCCCAGTCCGGGCCATCTCCACATCCAATGTGCGGGGCCAGTCCAGCACAGATGCCACATGCAATGCACACCCATGACCAGCCCTGTGAACCATGTACAGCAAGTGCAGGCTGCAGCCCAGCATAGCAAGCAGTACATGGGGCCAGTCTGAGGCATACACTGCATGCAGCACCCATGCAGACCAGCCCTGCATGCTGTATCCGGCATGGTCAATTAATCTGTGGCCAGTCCAGACCAGCTACAGATCCAGCATGCAGTGCCAGTCCAACACAGGCACCACATTCATCCCGAGAGCATCCCTGCACCATGTGTGGCCACGCCAGATGGGCTTCACACACTGCATGCAGCACAGTGGGGCAGGGCCAGCAAATGCTGTATGCAGCAGGCAACACAGCAAAGCAGATGATACAGCTCCACAAGCTAGATCAGACCTGTGGTCTGCATCTCTGACACCGCTGCATTAGCTAGATAGCAAACTTGGGCAAAGCATGGGAAAAAAATCTACACACTCACAACTGAAGGATGGGAATTAAAAATGCCAACAAACACTGAGTTTGGAAAATAGGCTTGGTCAGACACTCCCAGTTCCATTTTTATGGAAGGACAAGTTTGTTTGACTTCTTAACTCTTTTACCTCCCACATCTCACAAGCTTGTAAATTTTTGTGATGATGTTTCCCACCCCTCTCCCCGCACACCCCAGTATTGTCTGCATTAATCACCATCTGATGGGAACTCTTCGTTGTCATTCACAGTTACAGGAGATCCAACAGATGCCAGAGTATCAAGAACCATTCTGCTAGGTTCTTTACAGATGGCTCAGGTCTATTTGTCTAACGTTAACTATGCTAATTCCCCCTTTACAGTCTCTAAGAACCAACTCTCTCAACTTCAGTCACTTATCTCATTTGTATCCAGGACACTGGAAAAGTTTCAGCCATTTCCAGGCCTGAAGACTTTGTTGCTCTCCTGCATTTTGGAATTCCATAACAAACTTCTATTTTCAATATTATTCTACATATAAAAGAATATGCTGAATCCCAGCCTCAATTACAAACACAAATAAGAATTATTAAAATATAATTTGCCTGATCCAACCTATTTCTAAAGCTCAGTCGTTTCAGCACAAAGTTAAGAGATATTGGATGGGATTGGATATTTCTATCTGACACTATTTTTCTCTTTTCATCAAAATTAAATTTTGCCAAGCCTGAAAACTGCCATACTGGACCAGATCAAGCTAATACCAGATGCTTCAGAGAAGATGAAAGCATCCTGTAGTAGGCAGCTGCAGATCTTACCCTCAACTGTAGCAAGATTTAGTTAGCCACATTAGCCTGAATCAGGAAGAAGGGAGGGCAGGATTACACTTTAAAGACTAACTCATTCTTTTTAACACACATTATGTCTCGGTAACTCTGTGTGCTGTTTGTTAGTTCTGCAGGTCCAGTGTTGATTTCTTCCTGTTTGCTTTATAGAATACTGATAATGTGGTTCCTTAGTTTCTCAGAGTGAAGCACAGCATATCTGAGCAAATTTCCTACATAGATTGATTGCAGTCCATTTGGCTGAGTGTAGTGCCATCTGTGAGTAGAGAGAGGCGGTTAGCCATGTTAGTCTGAAGCCAGGCAGAAACCAGGGCAGGGGGGCAATTTATGGTAGCTTTACACATGCTCTGGGGAGAAGGCACGAGCTCCAAGAGCAAGTCTAATTAAAAGTGCCTAAAGTCAAGTGTATTTAGCATCCTGCACTTCAAAATGGCAGCAGGGGCGCTTTAACTAAAGCTCGTTCAACACAAGTACATGAGATGCGGAGGCAGCTGCAGTGC